TCTAATAGGATAATTCATAAATGTGTTGTACATATCAGTATACAGTAAGTAGACACATCAGCTACTTTTGATGCTATAAATACTAATATTCCAAATAAGCAGGCTTTATGTCAAGCTGATCATTTGTTCCCTTGTTTCTCATCTCCTCTCTCCTTAGCTCACTAATGTTACAGTATCAGTATATTATATTTTTCTATATCTATTTGATAAGTTTAGTTATTTTTGAATATTTGGGTAAATAAAACAAAATACAGAGTAATTATGAGACTTTATTGATCCCCAATGGGAAATTCACAAACGACTGTAGCAGCACTATGTAAAATGCTTCAAATTATAACATTATAGGTATACTGGAGCCCTGCAATAGGGTGCACCCTGCCTTTTGCGGGGTGCACCCTGGACAGTTGCACAGTTTCATGATGGACAGGTTGAGAAAACAGTCATCTGTGTCAGGGTTACAGCCTCTTCACTGGGCTGCAGTAACACTCATACACACATGTATGTAGGCTTCACTTCATCTGATTCAATCAGTGACCCTGCTTTGACTGTTTGGTTGTTATGGTAACCAGCTTGCCTGCCAAATGCGTGTATGTGTGTGTGTTGCTCTGTTAATTCAGTGATTTATCTTTTTAAGGCATGAAGAGCTGAATCTGTGCAGAGGAGACCTGTTGTGGTGCAGAATACTGGCGATATTCTGGCAGTGCAGATGTTAGTGATGATCATGTGTGTGTGTGCTTCCTGGTGATGATGATGATGGTGATGATGATGCTGACGGGTGCATCTGGATTTCTGTCCTGAACTCTGCCATTTCTGTACTAAAGTATGGAGGCGGAGAGAGAGAAAGAGAGAGAGAGAGAAAGAGAGAGCATGTGTCAGAGTTACAGCAGAGAGCGCTCAGCTGTGACACAGACCTGCTTGTGTCTAAAAATGGAAAGCACAGTTGCTGTTGCTGAGAAGCCATGAGAAGCTTCTATATGAGGAGAGTGTACATGTAGGGATTCATATGAACACCCACCAGCCTTCAAAATAAGATGTGGATAAAACATGTGGCAGTCAGATTACACTCCAACATGGCAGGTGCAATTTAATTCATTCATTTAAAATTTCTTAATGTGTTGATTATAATTTCCCAGTAGGGACACAGGGGCATGCCTGCCTCACTTAAAAAAAATCTTATTTTCATTTCCCTCACTTTTCATTTCCTAGTAACAACTATAATGCAGCCCATTTACGCTGTGATTTAATTTTAATGATCAAATACCAGCTCCTACTGGTACTTACAGTGTGGTAGAAAACAAGAAGGGGAACATGGGACTAACAATTGGGCTTTTTAGAGGCTACTTATGGGGTACAGTACTGAGACACAAAAACTGTTAATAAATATTGTTGTTTTTAATGACTCATCAGAAAAAGACCCACATAAGTATAGCCTAGTGTAGTTTCACTCATTAACAAACGCCTGTATATCACAGTATGCGTTATAAAATATTACTGATTTCCTTATTAAAATGTCTCTAAACAGCATCATCTGGCATTCCATCTGCAAAAACGCAGTTGGGAGAAGGGAGGTGCTAATACAACACTGATAGACACACCTGACTCGCCCTCCTAGTGTAATTTAGAAAAAAAAATTGCACAGTGAAAGAACACAACCAAACACGGAAATGCAGCTTTCTGTGTGGTTCTGTATTTGGTTGGTGTGCCTGCATTTTCCCTATTTGCATAGGTTTTATGCTGCAGTGCGTTGCTTTCTCAGTGCCACCGCAACACATTTGCTTTTGTGTGTTTAGTACAGTTTGTCTCAAATGGGGACCTATACAGCTACGTCAGTGCATGAGCAGCTGTGATTGGTCGGGCTGCAAGAGAAGCGCTGTGATTGGTCGTATTACTAAGGGCTTCGGAGCGGGATTAAAACATACTGTTTATCCTGACAACTTTAAAATTGTGTTATTTAGCTGCCGGTTCATCATTTAACACGTCATTTTACAGTCTCAGTTGGTGCTGACGGAGCGCTATTATAAGTTACCTGTAACATTTTTTTATGAAGTGTTACCTTAAATACTCTTGTGAGAGAATAAAGCGTGTTAGCTTAGCAGGCTAACTTCCCATTGGGATATTAGCGAGTTATCTAGCGTCGTTTTTTAGCTAACAACTAGGAGCGACAGCAGCACCGAGACAAGGTAACAGGGGAGATCCGGTGGGACGTATCACCTGTTAAAACACGTTATTAACGGTCTCGTTTTGTATAATCTGGTTAGGCAAGAATGTAATGGTTGGTTGTTTCTGTTACTTTGTCTTGGGTCGAGGTGAATCACACCACTGTTTGACCCAGGCTAATAAACAACAAAACAGATTTGAGACTTCCTGCACAAATCATTTGAACAAGGTTCATACTTGAAGGGTTACGAGTTGAATGGAGTTTATCACCTTTCTCATCATATGAAGTCACTCCTATCTGGACCGATTATTTGCAGCGCTTTAGAAGAATCACACCGTTTTAGGGCAGCAGGAGTTAAGACAGGGACATGCACATGTTCTTTTGGAAGCAGAGCATTTGATGACAGTGAGCGTTTTAAAGGTACCTTGAGACAAACGCTGATCAAGGTTTGTGCATGATGCAAAAGAGAATGCATGCTGTTTGTAGAAACCACTGTTCCATACGACCCTCATTTACTGGCCACAAAAACATTTTTGCAGCAGTGATGGGTCTGTCACAACCAGTAATTTCTGCACTAGTAAACACTGATCAATCTTAATACATGCCCTATCACTTAGTATGAAATCACAGAAAGGCTGCTGCAAGCTGCTTTATTACTATAAATAACTGATGAAATTACCAGGATTTGTCTGGTGAAAAAGAGTAATTTACATCCTGGCTTTAAATTGCCATCAAAGATGTGTCACTCTCATACTGTTTGGCAAGTTAGGATCAATTAAATTTTCTGTGATGCTTAATAAGTACAGGATGTGATGCTACACCGACAACATTGTAAACCAAAAGCTAGGGGGTCAAAGCTGTAAATGTGTTCATCTGTTTATCTTTATTTTTTTCCCTCACAGCATGAACTGCCCACCCAACAAGCGGTTCCGAGGCCTGGACCATGAAGTAGTGACAGCAGTTCCCTTTGATGACCCGTTTGGAGATGATGAGGACTTCACACAAGATGACCTGGATGAGATCGACATCATCGCCTCACAGGCTATCACATCGGCTGCTTCTGGGTCTAAACCAGGAACCAAACCGGTGGATCCGGTCCATGGGTCGGCTTGCCCGCCATGTGTAGGGCAGCGCAAACCTCTAAGCAGACCCACAACAAATCATAGCAGAGGGAACAGCAGCAGCAACCGAGTTAATGCTGGGATATCAAACAGAGAACCTCTGAGTGAGCAAAACTGAAATAAAACTCATCACTGAAAATGGTGCAGAATATGGTAATAATTATAAAAGACCGAACTGGGTGGATTTAGATATTTAATCCCATTGATAAACTGAATTATCATATCGAACTGATTCCTACTGATCAGTCATTATCATTGTTGCCAGTTTTTAGCTGGAGTTCCATCCTTCCCAGCAGCCATTGAATTGACTTTATTTATGATGCTATTGTGGACTGAAGCACCAGTGAAAACTAAGCATGACAGGAGGAGATTATTTATTCTTCCGGGGGGATGTCCCATGTACCAAGGCAGTGATTAAGCAGTCCGTGTAAAAACATACAAATATATCTATCAAGGTGCTGAATCCAAAAAATTGTAGCTATGATTTCCATCCCATCTGATCCTGCTAAAATTCTTCATTATCACATTAAGAAAAGTACAAAGTTTTGGCTGTTCCTCTCAATGTGATAAAGAGCCAGTTTGGGTTTGAAATGTGCACATTTTTATGGGCTCAGATAAAAGTGTTGTGTCTTTTGGAAAACAAATTCACAATCAGAGAAATTTACAATTGCTTGCAACATGAAAATAATAGATTAACACAGCAACATTTTTGTTCAGAATCCACTATTGTTTAATTATATCTCCAATAAAACTTGAGGAATCCAAATTTACTTGATGACAAAGTGTTTATAAAGATGAGGAACATGTCTGAAATGAGTTGGAGTAATTCTTCAAATACCTTAGTTGGTCACAAATCCAAAATCTTTTTAAGTGTGAATTCTGCAGTTCAGCTGCATCAATATGAAGAGAGATAAGACCATATGGGTACAGTCAAGATAAAAAAAAAACACCTGAATGGATGTGTAGACTTGTCTGTTGAAGTTTAAAACATTTCACCTTGAATGAAATTTAGTCACATGAATCCACAAATGAAATGGGAATTTGTACAAAAATAAAAGAACCTGAGTGATTGGACTGATCAACCTCTTGTTTTAAAACAAGACCACTGCAATGTCCTTTGACAAGCAGCTGTCAAAGTGAAGCTCAAACAGCCAATGCAGTTTTTTGTTTTCACGCTCTGTTGTTTTATGCTTTCAGGTAACAGGCAGCAGCAGATTGTGTCAGACAGAGAGGACAGCTCCTACAGTCTGTTGGAGGCCCAACATGCAGAACTTAAGAGGAAGGTGAGACTCACCGGTTATTCATTTTCTGTTGATCTACAGTGCGACTTTAACGAAGACAGCTATTGCAAATCAGTGTTGCACTTTTACATAGAATTCTAGTCTGTCTGAAATTGAAGAAACACGTTTTTAGAGACATGAGGCGTTCTGATTTCTGATTTCCAATAAAGGGGTGTGTCCATCCATAAAGGACCTCCACTAAGGATGCACTCATGTATCCTTCCTTATGGCTCCTCCAGCAGCCTCCTCAATCTTCAGAGCAGATATAAGAGTCTTGTAACATCCTCCATCCTCACTCAATTGAAACGACTTCCAGATGGAGCAAGGATCAGTTATATAAGAGTCATGAGAAGCAGCCTATGTGTCATGTACACAGACAGTTGTTCACATTCACACCTATGGGTCATTTCAGGGTTTATAATCAAATATGACTGTCATATCAAATGTAGGAGGTGCTTGTTTCAGCACAAAAAATGTGTGTTTGCGCACTTAGCTGAAGGAGGTGGAGGAGGAGATTGTGTTGAAGAGCGGGGAGATCCGCGTCCTGAGAGATTCTCTGAAAGCAGCTCAGCAGGAGAAGGAGGCTCAAAGGCAGAACCATATCCTGCTGGAGACTCAGAGACAGAGGGAGCAGAGCGACAGGGAGAAAGAGCTCAACAGGAAGGTGAGGAGCGAAAAAACACACAAACATATTTACAGGATATATAATTCTCACAATAACATGAAAATGGTGTGTGTCCTGTGTGCAGGTTCAGTCTCTGCAGTCTGAACTGCAGTTTAAAGAAGCAGAAATCAATGAGATAAAGACCAAACTGCACAGTTCAGACAGAAGCAAGACAGCCTCTCCACTCTCTAGAACCAGGTCAGTCAACATTAGTGTTACTAACAGGTTTTTTTTTTTTTAATTAGTTAAATGTTTCATGATATTAATCAGCACCAACTCTACTCCACTCTCTAAACTCATTCTCTGGTTGAGGTTTTTTCTTTTTCCATACTTTATATCATTTTAAGCTAAATGGCTTTTGAAATGTTGCTTGGACAAACTGAGACATTTGGAGATTTCATCTGGGACTCAGTAAACTGATTAAGCTAAAAAGAGTCGGTCAGTGTCTGAAGCAATGAGAAAAGTTAAACAAGACCTAGAGGAAATGTCAGGTATTGTGTGTTTATAATAGCTTCTCATTTTGTTGTACCTTTGTCTATCTGGACAACTTTTAATGTTTAAATTATACTTTATATATTATTATATACTCTGTTTATGTTTTTAATCATTATTTGGTTTCATTCTACACATTAAATCTAATCAAGTAAGAACTTAAGTTACTGAAAGTCCTTGAATGTGAGACCATTTTAGGGGAATCCTAGTATTGACTCCACCTCAGCTACAGGTCAGGAAGAACAGGTCACACTCCAACAGATTGATCAGCCATACATGTTAATTTAGAAGCAGTGTGTTTAAACCGAGTCATCATCCTGCATACGTTTGTAAAGCCATATTGTGGAACCATAAATTACTTTACTGACATAACCGGTCTACTGACTTCCGTAAACACGTCCTTCTCTGTTCCCTCTTTCATTACGCTGCGCTCAAAGTTTCAACTTCCGGGTCACAACAAAATCTCAACCGCAAAAATAAAACTCAAGTTTCCACAAGCATATTTTAACTTCGGATTTTCATTTAGAAACATATAAACGGAAATCAAATACCACATATGCGTTTTGTTTTCCGTGACATAATATCAAATCGAAAAAACGAAAACCGCCTCGTTTTCCGATTTTCGTTTTCCTGTTTCTAAATGGAGATCGAGAAACCGTTCGTTTTCCGATTTTGGTTTTCTCAATACAAAACGAAAATCCAATGGCCGCAATATACACGGACCCAGGATCCTATGAGATACTGGGACAACCAAAAGGCAATCTATCCAAACCTCTTCCGACTTGCCTTACAATTTCTCTGCACTCCAGCCTCATCTATGCCGTGTGAGTGGGTGTTTTCTACAGCTGGAGAAGTTGTATCAAAGAAGCAGCAGACTCAATTTCAAAACGTTGGAAAAACCTATTTTTTTGAATAAAATTTGTAAAAATAAAAAATAAAAAAAGCCCAGTCCACAAGCATCCTCATTCACAACACGTTCATTTAGATTTTCACGTTATGATACATGTTCACATTATTTATTGAGTGTATCTAAAAATAAAGGAAATTTTAAATTGAAATGAAGATATGAAATAATACAATATAAAATACAATGACTTAAATTATATTATTATAGGTCATCAAATCAGTGTCTGTTGAGTCTGTCAACTAGGTTGCCTGTAGGGATTTTTAAGGTCCAACAGGTGTCAGTATTCAGTGACACAGTATCGACACAGTATCAATACAGTTTGGCAATGTGTCGAAACGCTTCATGACGCCTCATCTACCCATCACTACTGTGGTGTTAAAGGCCGTTGTGGTGAAATGAACCACCAATGAACTATTGTGTTTATGAGGATTCTGAGGACCACAGAATTTTGATTGGTGTGTGTGTGTGTGTGTGTGTTTCAATAGACAGAGGGGTGTCCAGCAGCAGATCTGGTGACAGCCAGGAAGTGTCTTGCCCAGACCCCTTCCTGTCGGTCAGACCTGCACACCTTCAGCACCGAGGTCAGTCTCCAGCTCTACTTCAAAAGAGTTAATAGAAATAAATAACCTGCCACACATTTAAATGTTACTAAAATTCTAACTGGTCAATCAAATAAAAATTAAGACAGAAGCTTCTCAGTGCACCCATCCTTACACAGCTCACATTTAAAGTGGCTTAAGAATTCCAACTGCATTATAGGAAACATAGGAGCAGGGACCTAAAATCAGAGTACCTCAGCCTTTGCTCCACAGAGTTTGGAAGGTGTTTGTGTGTGTGTATTGTCCTCCAGGTGGTGTCCTGCTGGGGTTGTTGTTGCAGCAGCCTCTGTCTCCCAGCAGCCTCGGCCTTTCTCACCTGCTGTCTATAAGTCAGACCGACTTCCTGGCATCCAGGTAAGCATGCTGCACTGTAACCATGGCAACTTGGTTGGTAATAGTGTGCAATATTACTTAAAGCAAAGGTGTTTGCAGAAGCAACTTAACAGAGAAAGCGAAACTGGTTCAGTATTTGATGTGGCCAAATAAATCTGAATCAAGAAATCAAAAAGCATCACTTACGCCTCTCTCAGTGCCGCCACTGAATTGCCCTTGAGCAACACATCTAGGCATAAGCGAAGCAGCAGAGGGGCCAACACAAAGGAGGATTCATGCTTATTGAAAATCCATCTGGTTTAATGAAGTTTAGGAGTAAACACAAAAGCCAACACACCTGGCTTCCTTTGGAAATCTTCTGTTTTAGTCTACAAAGTTCAGTGGCAAAAATACAGGGCAATGACGTGAATTTTTTTTTGATCAGATGCTGTGGTATTATAATCACTTCAGCATCTCAAACTTCATTCACACAACCTAAGGAAGTGACCAAATTCTGATTTTTATCTAAGTGATTCAAATCTGTGAACAAACCAAATCATTTTTTAAAATTTAGTCTATCCCACTATGTGTCCTAGATTTGATTACAACCTGATCTCTGACTGTGCGAGCACTGTCAGAATGGTCAGATCAGAACTCGTGGGTTTTTTTTCAGCGTCTTCCTCCTCTGTACATATTGCCTTCTGTCATTCTATGTCGATCCCTCACAGACCAGTAAAAATGAACAGAGGAGAGCAACAACAGCGACTGGGGTGAAGATGAGAACGTTTCCTATTTGTTGAACTTTTATGGCAAAGCTTTTGATCAAGCCAAACTGAAAAGAACATATTGTAACACATTATTTAATTGTTATTCATGTATGCTTGTGACTCAGGTTTCAGTGAAATCTGCACGTGTGTGGCAGTTTAGCAGCTGTGTTCACACTAGGGGCAGCTGTGGTTCAGGAGGTAGAGTGGGTCATTTCCTAACCGGAGGATTAGCGGTTCGATTCCCGGCTTGTCCAGTCAACATGTCAAAGTGTCCTTGAGCAAGAAACTGAACCCCCAGTTGCTCCCGGTGATAACACCGGTGTATGAATGTGTGAGCGTTTGTGAGTGTGAATGGCCATGTAGTGTGAAAGCGCTTTGAGCCTGCTGTAAAGCATAGAAAAGCGCTATACAAGTACAAGACTATTTCCTAGAACTGGATATGTGTCACTTACAAACATTCATGTGGACCATCAACGCAAAAAGATGAGAACTGTGAAAATTGTATGTAACCTGTTTTATATCAGATAGTAGTATGGTGTTAAGTCACTTAATGCAACCACAGGTCTCCACATAGTGGTGTCAAATCCACCAAAACAAATCTTCAGTCAGAGCTTTAATATTAGAACTTGTTAATTTGACAACATATGTAATAATTGTTAAGCACAAATTGGACCCAAGTAGTAGTGTTTGTTTAACAGCAGCAGTAGCAGTGGTGGTTGCCCTATCACTAGTTGTACTATTTACATTTTAGCTGAACAGTTCCAACAGACTATGATGTGTTTTTGTTTGTTTGTTGATGTTGTGTGTCCAGCGGGTCGTCGACAGATTTTCTGCTCCACTCTGATGCTGCAGCCTGTTGTAGCAGCGGTGGAGGCGGAGCTCCCAGAGCTGCTGTGCGTACTGTCCAGAGTCTGGCCCTAACTGGACTGAACATGCTGAGTCAGAACCGAACGGAAGCTGCAGTCAGCAGCAGAAATAACAGGTGGACTGAGATTCTGAGGACACTATAGCTGCCCTGCTGAAACTGTACAGATGCTGATTTAGAATCCATAACAACAAACACAGAAAAAGCTGAACAGTAACTGGAAATGGATCAAACCCGCCCAGTCACCAGCCCCACTAGCTCACTCAGTGGCTGCTTGTTTGTTGTTTTGGTGGCTGTGTCCTTTTCTTTTGTCTCTCCTCTATCCACTCACCAACTCGGTCGAGGCAGACAGCCACCCACCAGGAGCCGGGGTCTGTCAGAGGTTTCTTAGGAATTGAACAGTTCTATGGACAGCAGAGTCCTCTTGTGGCCAAATGATGTAATAGCAGCACTGAACTGCCCACATGGCAAAACATAATCTGTAAAGTCATGTATTAAGTAGATAATTACCAGTCAAACTTTACAGAATCCCTGCAAACTCTGTAATACCTCAGCTCTAACATTTTGCCCTTAAGGCCTGCACACCAGCAAGAATTACTGAGTCACCACATTTGAAGGACTGTCTTCATACAAAAGGACCAGTGGGTTCCAAAGTTGTTACCTTAAGGATGTGGCACCAGTGCTTCTCACTTTCATTTTTACATTGTGCATTGTTATTAAAACAAGGCAACATTTTCTTTAACTGCATTTTTAGTTACAGCTTTAATTGGTTTGGCTCTTTTTTCAAACACATGAAAATCCAAGAAAAAAACCCAATAAACAACAATGTGTGACAGCCTGCAGCTTATTTACAGCTGAAAAAGCTGCATGGATGTTCACCTAAGTTGCCTGTTTATTAGGTACATGTTGTTGGGGTTGCCATGATTTTAACGCATCTGAGAACCACAGACATTTACTGTGATGGTTATCTGACTTGAGCAACTAACTTTTGTCCGAGCTAAAAATGAAAAAGAAGAATCTCTATTTGTGTTTGTGTGTGTAGGTCGTGTCCTGGAGCCGTCCTCCTCCTCCCTCTGTTGGACCTTCACCTGTCTCGACTTTGTCAGTCTCTGGACTTTCTGCGCTCCAGCTCTGCTCGCAACAACGGTTCAGACTCGTCCGCTGCCAGCTCACTCCCAGCAGGCACTGCGCATCCTACTGCAGGTCTGGGAAGACTTGAGGAGACTGGTGTGAATGGTTTCAGTTTGGAGGACACTGGTTTGACTGCTCTGAGGCTTCTCTACCTTCTGTTGGCCCAGAGTGATGAGGTGATGACAACCATAACATAACAGACACCTGTAATGACTAGGCAAACTGGTATAACTTACAAACTTAATGGTACATGTCAGGGATTAGGTCCACATCAACATCAGAAGAACCCCCTCACCCCTTTAACTACAACACTGTGCAGCTGCATCAGTTGTTTCGTTTTGATTTTAGGCTTTGCCAACACAGTATATGCCTTTGAAATCATAACCAGTACTGTAACAGGCAGTTCTTTTAATTATCAGTTAATCTTCCAATTGTTTTCTCAATTATTCACGAAAGCGTGAAAGAGGCTTGTCGCTACACTAGCCTAAGTCTTCATTTTCTGTCCAACCAGCAATCCACAACTGCAGCATGTATGACCTGTAGAAGCATCAAATCTTTGGCATTTTCTGTTAAAGCTTTATCTGAATATATCTTGGGAACATTTTAGTGTTAATGCACAGTTTACAGAGCTATTTATCATCTGCTTGTTGAGTATTTCCTGAATGTGTAGTGCTGATTGCTGACCTGCTCCTCAGGTGGTGGAGGCTGTGCTGTCAAAGGAGACTCAGAGCACAGTTACAGCTGACCAGGTACAGACAGAAACACACAGATGGACCACTCACACACACCCTCTGTCACTGTCAACTTTATCAAATCATATTTCTTGATTGTTACCCTCCTAAAGAGAAACACGTCAGTGAAATCCTCCCTGCTTCTGGTTGTAGGCTGAGCGCTCTGCTGCAGGTGTGGGTCTGTGCTCTCAGAATGCTTTGCTGCAATCAGTGTTGCGGCTGTGTGAAGCAGGACTTGGCAGAAGCAGCCTACAGCGGGAGGAGCTTGTCTTCAGTGCCATGAAGACATTATGTGTCTTAATTCAGAGGACACCACAGGCACTCACCAACAGGTGAACGCACACACTGAGTGTATTCACATGCTCACTGGTGTCCTGGTTATGGTCGGATTTTTATAGTGTTCTGGTTTATGTGTTGTAAACATCATACTCTGGTTTCAGAAACTTAGATACAGTCTTATCCAGGTTTTGAGAAACAAGGATATGACACATGGACATCCGGAGTCTGTAGCATGTAAACATCTTAGTCAGGTTCTTTGTGTTCCATTTAAACATCCTATCCAGAATATGATCAAAACCAGGATACTTGTTTGCATGTAAGCACGCTGACTGCAAACAGGCTGTTTTAAGTTTACATAAATTGTGTTACCTGCAAGAAAAGAGAGAGATTCGTTTCCTGATCAGTGACATTACCAACAGCCAGCAATCAGGAGGTGGCCAGATGTCATGGAAATAGTACAGTCCACAGTTAAGTTATTTCATCATATGTGACGAATAAAAGGAGATTTGTTCAATAGAATACAAGAAACAAAAGACTGATCATGACTTACTACTAACATTGATAAAGTCTTGCTTCTGATTAACACAACAGTTATTCAAGATAAGAGTAAAGAATAAAGATAAGATTAATTAGTGACCTTTATTTTCACTCAGTTATTCAGGATTTTCCTTTAATTCGTCACCCATCTATAATTTGCAGTGGATTCACACTGGTCACTTCTGTCCTCTCTCTATTTCTCAGGTTGCAGTGTGTGTTGCAGGTGATGTGTGTGTGTTTGTCAGGAAACAGCAGTTTGCAGAGAGTTTCTGAGTGTGTGTCCATCCTCATGCCGTTGTCTGACCACCAAACACTGGCTCAGCAGCTCTGCTCTCAGCATGGTGAGGCTTCGTCCACTGCCACAACACTATTAATGCACTGACTTTAACTCGCCTGGAATTTAATGCCACTCATGTACTAAGCAATTATTCTGCTCTAGTGATTTGAATGAACTGAAAAATTCACCGCAACTGGACATCAACTGTGTGTTTGTCTCCTTTAGATCCGTGTGTTTTCCTGAAGTTGTTCCAGTTCGTCAGAACCAGACCAGACAAACAGGCTACACGCACAGACTGGATTTTACTGGACCTGCAGGTAACACACACACACACACACTGCAGAGATGCACTGATTCCTACAAAATGAGTATGGATGAATAAACAAGGAAACTACATATAATAGTCAGGAAGAAGAAAAAAGTGTCAAAGTCAAACATCCTTCAACAGTAAAAACATTTTAAATATCAGTTTTTATCAGGTTAAAAATCCCTGTGCATCAGGTAGAAAGAATATTTTCACTGTCCTTTCATTGTTTGTGCTGGCCACAACTAATATTTGAATACAGCTTTTAGTAAGGAATTTATGCTGCTTCTGTTTTGGACACTGTTGTTTTTGCATCTTAGGTGGTTCGTTTGTTGAGCAGACTGAAAACTCAGGCGGCAGAAAGCTGGTCCGCCAACTTGCACAGCAGCTGTCAGTGTTACACTGAGGTAAAACTGACCCGCTGCTCTGTGTCTTTATGTGGTGATGTTGTGTTGCACCTTTCAGCACAGTCCTCTCTGTTTTATTTCCTCAGTTGGTTCAGACAGTGGTCATTGTTTTCCATCGCCAGTGGTTGGATCTTCGAGATTTTCAGGAGCTGACAGACTCGACAGGTCAGTCACAATTCAGATCTGAGGCACTGGACTGAAAATATTCACCACTGCATCCTTAGAAATGATGACAGTCAGCAGCATGTCTCTAAGATAAAATCATTGCTTACAACTCTGGTGACTTCTCCAGGCTTGGCACCACCCTCGTCTAAGTGCTCTGCCCCCTTGTTGCCGTGGTGGTGCAGCCCAGCGGCGTCTCTGCTCAGAGAATGTCTGCTGCTGCTGCACTGGCTGCTGCTGCACCACGGCAACTTCTCAGAAAGCTGCAGGCCACTGCTGCATATGTACGACCAGGTAATCCCCGCTGTCCGGGACACACTGAAGAAGATCCCCGAGCTGAGTGAGAGCGAGGGTACTCACACTCACACACTCACACACACACACACACACACGATAAAAGTCCTGTTTTTGCCCATCAGTCCACACCCAGTAACCCATATTGACAAAGTGAAAATCATTCTAGGAAGCCACTTTATGAACACTTAGTGTTTTGTGAAGTTACAGGCTGAAAAAATGACTTATAGATGTCGAATTTCACCTAGTGACAGTAAGGCTATCCAGGCAGTTGTTGAGAAAGTATTTCACCTAGTGACAGTAAGGCTATCCAGGCAGTTGTTGAGAAAGTAATGGGTGGGCCATGGAAACGTAGCCCGGAGCCCTGAGTACCTAGGTCCTAAAATTGGAAGCAGGCTACTTTTCCATGGCCCACCCTGTAATTTCCAGATCAGAGATATTCAACTATGTTCCATAGACGGCCAGTATTCTGCAGTCATTCGTTTCTACCTGTTTCAACCTTGAAACCTTTTCTCTTATAAAAATGAAACATGATGTCCCCCCCCCATTTGAGGGGCTCGTCTATCAGGCTAGGCATGTCACAGTGATATAAACATGTCGTATAATGAGTGACATTGCACGCCCCTGGTTTCATTATTCAGTTCCATTATAAGGTAGAGTTGAGAAATAATTTCAGTTTTACACCTGATTTGGAATGTCTGCATACTTTTGTCCATTTATTGTAACATCGCTCAGAACTGTGACATAAACAGAGCTGTGTTTCACACTTTCCTGTCTGTCAGAGCTGGCATTGGAGGAGATCTGCCGCTCAGAGGGAGACGATACTGATGACATGGATACTGATTCTGGCTCCTGATTGGCCGCGGACCACCAAGCAGACAAGGGGAACGATCTGCGATCTCTTGGATATTTTGCACAGAGACGATCACAGATCAGAGTGTCTGTTTCTGCCAGACTTCTCTGTGATAACGACGTTGGAGTGTCAGCGTCTTAACTGAAGGACAGAGTCACAGGACTAATCAGCTGTTTTGAGTTTTAACAATGAAACATGAAGGTGAGAAACTGCTTCAGTCACTGTTCATGTTCACCTATCGTATAATTCTTTTGTTCTTCCTATCTTTCTTTGTATCGATCAGTCCTCTGTCCATATTCCTCTTTAACAATCAGGGCTCCTTCTCTCTTGGGTGTTGCACCTTTTATTTTTGGTGTTGAAGGTTCAGAACAAACCAATAATAAAATGTTGCCTTAATTAAAAACAAACAAAAACCAGCTCAGAACCAGAAGATTTTATGAAACACCTTTATTTTTTTCTCCATCTCTAACTGAGGTATCATACAGTGTACTTGTATAAGGCATCTTATTGACCATTACAGGTCTGCTGAGTGTTAGGAAGTATTTTAGTCCAGTTACCTCAACGTAATGATGTATTTTCTTAGAGTGATTCAACATATGATGCTTATATTAGGTCCTCTATCCTGTTAACCTGAGATGTAATCAGTCTGGAAAAAGCCTGCTTGTCATTGTTATTACAATGACAACTATGTTTGTTATCCAGAGAAACAAGATGTCATGTAACAAGAAAAGTATCAGCTTATAACAAGCACCATAATATGAGTTGTCAGGATAACTGTTCTTATGAGCAACCACACAATTCAGAAGCAATTAGTAAATGAAGCTTTGCTGGCTCTGTAACACTTAAACTAGGATCATCAGTAGAGGATGGGACACTTTGATATTGTAATGTCAGACTGAAGCTGAATTTAAACACTGTCATTGTTGGCTCTGTGGTGCATTTGTGTCATTCTTTGATTATTTTCAGGCATACAGTCTAGTCAGAAAGTATGTTTCAGACTTGTCTTAAAATGGATTTGTTGTAATTGTCTTAAAATCTTTCCTAATTATATCCAATGCATTAAGTTACAGGCCGACTCTAATCAAGCTGTAGAAGCATCTCAACAACCGTTGACAGGAGTGGGATGCACCAGAGTGTCGTAACAAAGGGTCTGAATACTTATGTAAATGGGATATTTGAGTCTTTTATTTTTAATAAATTTACAAAACACTCCCAAAAACCCATTTCACTTTATCATTGCGGAGTAGTGTGTGTATATTGATGAGAAAAAAAAATGTAATGAATCAATTTTAAGATGAGTCTGAAACATTAAATGTGGAAAACTTGAAAGGGCCTGAAAACTTCCCATACTGACTGGAGGTCAGTTGGTGGTGACTCTGCACACCAACAACACTGACTCAGCCTTCTCTTACAATCCTAGGGATGAACTGAGAAGGGTAAACACTGGGAGAAAGAAGCTGTGTCCCAATTTAGGCTCCATCTGCTTCCTTTTTTCAAACCACTGGTGTGTGTAGGCATCTTCATCAACTCAGAAAAGGCCATATAACCAGGTGTGTTGAAATTGTAGCAGTCCCTTCAGGATGTCAGTAGTGAGTCTAGACGCACAGTCTGTAGTTTGTTCTTATCATTCAACAGTACACAGAGGCCGTGATACTCATTTGCATACATCAGGTCACAGTATTATATGCACATAAGTAACCGGGTCATCAGAAAATGTACTTGTATGTACTATAGTAACCTGGTTATTATAGGTTTGTGTATACATGCAGCAGATCAGTAAACAGACTGTTTCCTGTCCCTATGTTTATTTTGGAAGCATGACTCCTGCACACCACTTTGTTGGTTTTCAGTTTTGAAGGCAAGAGCACATGATATTTAATTGCTTCTTCTTTCATCCACCCACTCTGATACTTTTACTTTTAAAGTCTTTGTCAGGCACATTCATATATGAAAAAAATCTCCTATGGTTACCTGTATGCATGGCCAAGAGGCCACCTTTCTCTAGGAGATGTGTACTATAGCAGGAGAAATGAGATTACTCATTTACATGAGGTTACTGGAAAAAGCCAAGTGTAATGCTGTTTACTTCAGGATAAGGCTGGTATCACTTCATATTTTTCTGACAATCCCATGAAATAAGCAACTTTGTGTTAGTCTGTCCCTCAATACTTCCCTAACCTATATAAACAAGTCAAGAATATATAGTTTCCCTTGGAAAAAAAATGTGAAATTTACATACAGCTGGGCACCAGTTTCTAGCAGATGTCACTTAAACAGGAGGAAGTTGTTCATTTCTGAGGGATTCATTTCAGCTGTGCATTTGTTTACATGTGGTATGTTTGAGTATCTACAGCAGCAGAAACAATTTTTATTATAATAGAGAATGGCACCCGGTGCGAACAACAGTTGGGCTCTGTGGAATGAGCTACATCAGGCTTTGGATCCAGAGGTAACTTCAATTTATTGTTGGTTTTGGACTTTTAATGGGAAAAATGTAAAATATAACCTGTGTAGCCTTAAAGTGCATGTAAACACACTAGTCAAGTCAAATTTCACAACTCTATTTCCCAGTTTAACACTGCAGAGTAACTCTCCACTTGACAAGCTGATGAGAGCACCTCAACACACCATTAGTTCTGGTTTGTGCCAGGAACTGGTGGCACTGGTGACTCTGTTGTGAATCTCATGTAGAGCAAGAGAGATTTGTGGAAGGCGAGCAGCAGGTTTAAGCCCCTGTCAAAGGAGCCGGAGCTTGAATTGAGACAGCTACAGAGAGGAAGGCACCTGAGGGTCAAGTAATCCAGGATCAGACTGTCTGTGTAGTGTGTGTGTGTGTATAGCTGTCTGTCTATCCTTGTGAGGACCAATATGGGTTTTTGACCATGGGAGTGAGGACATTTTGTCAGAGATGTTCAGAGGGTCCAGAGTTGGCTGTGGATCACTTTCACATTTGTATTCTGGTTAATTTCGTCCAAATTAAATGGGAAATTGTCCATTTTCTTCATGCTATTTGATTTTTGTAAACAAGGTGGTCTTGAACTGGCACGTGTGGTGGCTTCACTTCTAGGGAACTGTCATGACATCATCTCTATATGCATCTATCTCTACAGGGACTGGCATGACACTCAATTCAGCAGTCTGGATGTTTCAGTCTGCATCAGAGCTCAAACCCTTTCACACCAGTCCAAACGAACTGTACTAAACAGGCGAGCACACCAGAGTTTACATTACCTGAATCAAACAGGTTAAGTGTGAAAGCACCATTAGGATTAAAGTTACAATTAAGTTCAGGTTAAGTTTAGTTAAAAGCATGATGCTGACTTCAGGCAAGTACGAAAATGCAGACAATTCGAGCTGCGCAAGATCAGTTTCACATGTTCTACTTTTGAGAGTGTCACCTACATGACACAGGTACGATATGCAATCTAAGCATTGCACCTAGGGGGCACTATAGCATGAAACAACAAGAGAAAGCCGGTCCCTTCCATTTGGTTCCACTCAAAACAACCATGGCTGACAAGTTTGACAAAGCTCTACCTGAATAAGTTCGTATGTACATATGTATGATACTTCATCACCTGGTCATAGCTTCAGCTGACTGATATTGTCCCCCTGTGGACTAAGCCTAATCACCTCCACTCCACTCCACTGTAAAAGTGAACATTGGCTGTGTTTACCAGAGACGGTCCTCGTCATTTGTAGCCATGTATGTTTCAGGCCTAAGGGTTGGGTGATGGTTGGTGTTGGGATGCATTAGATAAGTGAGGGTCCTCACAAGTACAGAAGTACAAACATATGTATCTAAGAGTGAGTGTGTTAGTGTTTTTCTATGAATGTTGGCACCACCTGGTCATCGTCTTGTTTACTCTGTGGCATTGTGTGTGAGCTGTGATGAGTCTTGTTCATGTTGTGATGTGGCGCGCAGGGATTGGTCAGCCACGGGTGCATCAGCAGCTCCGATGCCTCCAGTCTCTCAGCAGGCAACTTCCTCAGCATGCAACCAATAAGACACTTGGCCTGTGGTGACAGCCAATCAGGCAGGCTGAAAGTCCCGCGGCGGATTTTGGTGAACAGCGCAGCAGGCTGCGTGTCCTGGAATGGGTATCGTCCTATCAACATGGTGTACAAAGACACACCCAAGCTCCAAATGTCTGCAGCACGACCAGAATAAGACCCCTTCCCATTGGTCAGCAGCTCGGGGCCGACATAGGCAGGGCAACCATGTCTGTCTGTCAGAGAGTCGTCCTCGTGGTTACCGTCCAGGAGGACGCACTCGTCAAGGCCGAGCAGAGCAAGACGAGTTCTGTGGGGAAAAAGAAACATAGATCACAGTTTTAGTCTAATTAATGCATCAGCAGTAACATCTGTAGCACTGGTAGCTGGTATTACAGATACTTCTGTTATTAGTGCTAGTAGCTATGGTTTTGCTAATGGTTCCACTGGAGATGCTAGGTATAGCTTATTTTTATCTATATGGTTTCCTCAGTCTTACTGAACATTAATTATACTGCTGATACTACAAAAAAACTGCTAATGCTATGGTCCATAGCAGGTTTATGAGCAGTGTCAGCAATGTCTGCAGTAATTTTATTAGTATGGGCAGTGTTAGAAGCATTAGAAGTATCATAGTGTTGTTTGGCATTTAGAACTGGTAGTGGCACTTGCAGTAGCAGGAGTATTAGTAGTACGTTTGCAGTGTTAGAAGTATGTTATGCAGAATCAGTAGAATTTAGATTACAACCAGCAGTGTTTTCAGTAGTATCAGTATTATTACTAGCACCTTCAGCAGTGTTAAGTACTTACTGCACTGTAAGTGGTAGTATTCATCATTTTAGAGTTTATTAGGCAGTTTCACTAGAATTTATAGCACCACTAGTGTTAACCGTATTTTGTCATTTTAGCACTATTAGTAGTTTTTAGCTGTATCAGTTTCATAAGTATTTGTAGTACAAGTATCTGTCATTCAGTCTTATACAGTATTGTTCAAAGTAATAGCAGTACAATGTGACTAACCAGAATAATACAGGTTTTTAGTATATTTTTTATTGCTACATGGCAAACAAGTTACCAGTAGGTGCAGTAGATTCTCAGAAAGCAAACAAGACCCAGCATTCATGTTATGCACGCTCTTAAGGCTGTGCAATTGGGCAATTAGTTGAAAGGGGTGTGTTAAAAAAATAGCAGTGAGGTCATCAATTTTGTGAAATAACAGGTGTGAATCAGGTGGCCCCTATTTAAGGATGAAGCCAGCACTTGTTGAACATGCATTTGAAAGCCTGAGGAAAATGGGTCGTTCAAGACATTGTTCAGAAGAACAGCGTACTTTGATTAAAAAGTTGATTGGAGAGGGGAAAACCTATAAAGAGGTGCAAAAAATTATAGGCTGTTCAGCTAAAATGATCTCCAATGCCTGAAAATGGAGAGCAAAACCAGAGAGACGTGGAAGAAAACGGAAAACAACCATCAAAAGGGATCGAAGAATAACCAGAATGGCAAAGGCCCAGCCAATGATCAGCTCCAGGATGATCAAAGACAGTCTGGAGTTACCTGTAAGTACTGTGACAGTTAGAAGACGTCTGTGTGAAGCTAATCTATTTTCAAGAATCCCCCGCAAAGTCCCTCTGTTAAAAAAAAGGCACGTGCAGAAGAGGTTACAATTTGCCAAAGAACACATCAACTGGCCTAAAGAGAAATGGAGGAACATTTTGTGGACTGATGAGAGTAAAATTGTTCTTTTTGGGTCCAAGGGCCACAGACAGTTTGTGAGACGACCCCCAAACTCTGAATTCAAGCCACAGTACACAGTGAAGACAGTGAAGCATGGTGGTGCAAGCATCATGATATGGGCAAGTTTCTCCTACTATGGTGTTGGGCCTATTTATCGCATACCAGGGATCATGGGAGAACTTGTGGGGTGATATCAAAAATGCTGTTTCTGAAGCAAAACCAAGAAATGTAAATGAATTGTGGAATGTTGTTAAAGAATCATGGAGTGGAATAACAGCTGAAAGGTGCCACAAGTTGGTTGACTCCATGCCACACAGATGTGAAGCAGTTATAAAAAACTGTGGTCATACAACTAAATATTAGTTTAGTGATTCACAGGATTGCTAAATCCTAGAAACAAAAACGTTTGTACAAAATAGTTTTGTGTTTGTACAGTCAACAGCAGACACTGCTATTTTTTTTAACACACCCCTTTCAACTAATTGCCCAATTGCACAGCCTTAAGAGCGTGCATATCATGAATGCTGGGTCTTGTTTGCTTTCTGAGAATCTACTGCACCTACTGGTAACTTGTTTGCCATGTAGCAATAAAAAAAAATACTAAAAACCTGGATTATTCTGGTTAGTCACATTGTACTGCTATTATTTTGAACAATACTGTATGTGTGTTGGTGTAGAGAAACCTGCAGAGCTCACAATATCAGCAGTATTATTCACAGTACTATCTGTTTGTCAGTCTCATATGTGGCACTGGTGAAGACTAACCTGCAGCACTTCACAGTTTTGCTGCAGTTTTAGTGGTTGGGGTTAGTACTATATCTCTCTGGCAGTCCTACCTGTGTCTGTCACTGTAGTGCGCTATAGAAGTAGTATTTGTAGTTTGATCAGTACCTGTCATGGAGCCTCACCTGTATCTGTCGATGAAGACAAATCTACGGAGCTTCAGGTCTCTCAGGATGACTCCGTGGCCATGACAGTGCGACACGGCGTTCAGCATCTGAGCAAACAGAAGCCTCGTCTCCTCTTCGCCCAGGCGCTTCCTGTTGCGCACGTACGCATGCATGTCACCATAGTGACCAGGCAGGAAGGCATGCACACTGTCCTGGCCAATCACCACGTCCAGCAGACCACAGATGTTGTCGTGATGACCAATTCGGGTATAGGCAGCTAATCGCTCCAGGTAACCACGCCGAGGGAGTACCTGTAACCATGGCAACCAGGAGGGGCGGTTGGGGTAAGACACTGACTGTTCCACTGTTGTATGTATATTTTTCACAGTATCAGCAATAGCATTAGTATTTTCAGCAGTACTTGTAGAATTAGCAACAAGTAACAATCAACAGCAGTAGTAGTAGTAGTAGTAGTAGTTACCTGGCACGTGTACTGCTGCTGTGTGCGTACAAGCACCGCCCTGTGAGTCTCCTCCCCTTCACGCCGCTCACACAGGAAGTCTCGATGACGATTGGCTCTGACTGGTCTTGGGGGTGGGACTTCTGGGCCTGAGGCAGGGTGATAGGCCAGTTGCTAGTGGGGGTGAAGCTACATGAGCACGTTTACATTTTGGTAAAGTGTCCTGGGGCTCATCCAATAGCCTCTTCAGACAGAGTTGAGAGCTGGCTGTGTCCACACCCACACTCATCTGTGGTTGGAGTAGAAAAGTGAGGTTAATTACTAATTAATTTGTGAGGTTAATTAATACTTACAGCTTTATTATTACTGCCAAGCAGTGGCAGCCAGTGTTTAAAACAGGACACGATGTCAAACAAGGTCACAGCTGTGCAGTGCTTTGTGGTCAGTGCTAACAATTTAGTGTTACTATGCTAAAACTGATTGGCAGTAAACACAAAGTACAGCTGAGGTTCTGATGAGAATGTCACTAGTTGTAGGCGTCTGAGGTGTAGTTGGTCAAGTTTTGGACAAATGGGAACTACAACCAAGTGATGAAGCGAGGTGATCACAGTTCATCCTGAAGGGACATGACTGCCTGTAGAAAATGTCATGACTGTGCATCCAGTAATAGATGAGATATTTAAATCAAAACCACAAATGTCAACCTCATGGTAGTGCAAGAGGAAAGGTGAAAGAGTCACCAAAGTCAGTAGAATTTATCATCTGTGGACCATGAGCATTTGTACAAAATTTCATACAAAGAAATTTTGAAATGAAATTTCAGTGTGGATCAAAGTCACACCCCAGAAACTGTCCTGTTAGTGCCAAGTGAGCTGCGACTGAACAGACTCAAGAGAGCCGTTTAATTTCTACAATGCAATGCCCCTCTGCTGGTGTCAAAACCCCTCCCTTCGCTAAACCCTCTTAAGTAATATTTTCCCATACATGAGTAAGAGTTGTATTATTATCACATCTCGCTGTGTTCTGTCTCTGCTGCTCTCATGTTACACTGGTAACGCATCTATAGGCTTTATGATGCAACTTCCTGTAAACTTGTCAGATGCTTCAGCTTCTTTCAGATTGTTGCATCAGAGCACAACAGTTTATAGTTTAACAGGCTTTAAATACAGTCAACACCTACCACACGCATATGTGGTGGGAGAGTGTGGGCTTTATGAGGAGTTTTCTAGAACGCTGTGCTGATGCTGTGTGGAAACCTGCTGTTGGGCAATGCTGCTTCCACTCTGGTGAAACAACCTGAGTCACAGCAGCAACACGTCACCCTCCGACACACAGTGAATCAGTACTGTCTCATCGTTCCAGCTCTATGGAAGATTTCTCTTGACACTTTCTGTTCAACTGCAGTTTCACAATCAACATGCAAAAATACTTTGTTTCTATTCGTAGACTGAAACTTGACTGCTGTTACTCTAACTTTGGTAACTGTAATCTCTCACTGGCCTTTCTGAAAACTTGAAGGGGGCTATTTCCATACTCACCTCAAGTCAACCTTCACTTGTGCAGTTGCTATTAGTCATCAAAGCCTTTGTTAAAGTTAAACAACACCTTTTAAGCTGAAATAAAACTAAGACTCCCATGAAAATGTAGGCGTATGATTACTTCATCCATATCCATAATATTCACCAACACTTGTCAAGTGTTTTTCCACTTGTGGCTGTGATGGATTCAGTCCTCTCTGTTCATATGACTGAACTAACCATGTCCCCATGACTCGTCTCTCTGTCCTGCAGGTTGACATTAAAACTTAGACCAAACGTGACTGAACTACTGTTTCAGCTTCTGGAGGAAATCTGCTTTGTCCTCTTTGTCATCTTTTCAAACTTGTCATAAAAGTATGTAATCTTCAATAATAATTAATCATCAGATTTTTTTTTCTACATTAATAGATGAACATCTTAATCCTATGTCCATCCCAGTTAAACAGAGTCCAGTTACTTCAGCTGATCAGCTGGGATATGTCTTAACTGACTGTTAACATTTGTTAAAAGCTCAGAAGAAGTTGTCTGTTTTCTGTTTATGCTCCTAATCTATTCCTTTAAGTATCTGTAATCACTGAGTCTGATCAGCACATTTTTATTATGTATATGTGTTTTTGTTGTGCACATGCCAAATATTGTAAACCTAGATTATAAATACTCCAAATGTGAGTCCTGTTGACAGTTCAGTAGCACTGTAATGAGTTATAAGCTACATTTTTTTTGAGGATGGGTGATCCATCTCTGCTTCCAACCTAGTTATATACGATAGATGTTCATAAACTCTACTCACTGCTGCACTTTGCTAAACTCTAGTAGATGAGCTGCTGCATTTTACAGGTAAATACTGTAGTTTTTACTTCCTTCATTTAACAGCTACAAGAATATGATCATTTCTATACATGAGATCAGATCAGATCTACATAAAAACATTCTATGAGCAGCTACAGCTACTCGCACCTTAATGCATCAGTAACAGTGGTCAGTGGTGGAAAGTATTGTAACTAACAATGTTTAATCCATTACTGTACTCAAGTACAACTGTGAGTTTGACCACACTTAGACAACTACCTTTCAGTACATTTCATTGTACTTTTTACTGCACTACATTTATTTGATATGTTTAGTTACTCTTTTAACATATCTAGCTAGCTATAAAGTATATAAGGTAGTTAACATTAGCTCCACAACTACCAGCTGCACCATTAAATGTGATAAACACAATAGTGCATCAGTACTTAAAGTACTGAAAGTACTCAGTATGCGGAATGGCACATTTCAGATTAATCTGTATTATTAGATTATAATAATGTTGATACCAATACTTTTGTACTTTTACCTAAGTAGCATTTTGAATGCAGGACCTTCACCTTTAACAGAGTATTTGTACACTGTGCTATTACTTTTGTCAGTGTTTCCTCCTCTACTGACATTAATCTGTTATATAATAATAGTTACTACTCTTTTGCTAAGAATACTTTAATTCTATAAAAGTCAGAATTATGCTTTTCATGTACAATTTTATATTTATGTATTATTTGACTTTGTTACTGGCACTTTTAGTTCAAGAAGGACGTGAGTACTTCTACCACTGCTCCCAGGTCAGTTTTCTTACCTTGTGAGTTACCGTTGTAGGTCAACAGGTAACCAGTAGATCCACTGGAGGTAATGTGGAGCTGATGTTTCCCCCCGTGTAGAGCAGATGCTGCAGAGGACAGGTTTTCTTTAAGGTCCAACTCCCATTGGAACCAGTAGCTCTGATACTGGGGGAACTGGTGGTGACGTCCTTTGTCTCCGTTTTATTATTATTGTCTGGGTTGCGCAACCTGTCGTCAGCCAGTTAGCTCTTGGTTGTTGAGCTTTTTCCTCAGTCTGATTTAAATACTTTTTATCAACTTGTCACAAAACAAACTAATACTGTTGTTCAAAAAATATTGTAATATGTATTTTTTCCTAATATGCGGAGCTGAAGCGAACAAAGCCGAATCCAACCGAGTCCTCGTGTCCGTCAGTCTGAGTTTAGATGAAATAGTTTCGGACTGGTTTCGGTCCAGTCTGGCCTGGCGGACTCTTGTCTCCTTGGACCCTGTTCGACTCCGGAACTTTCGGCTGGACTGAGCCTTCGCACCAAGCCTGGGTACGTTTACGTTGTTTCCTCCCGCCGTGCCGTCATCCAGCGGGGCGGAGCCGCCATGTTGCAATCTTTCCACGAGTAGTCGTCAGAAAATACGACTGCCGGCGCCAGTTTATTAGGAACACCAAGTTGAAGCCAAATGCAGTGTAGTACAGCAGCCATATAATAATCCTCCTTCATGAAGGTGGTAATGTTCAGGCCCTGTTCAAACGGTTTTAGCCTGGCCTTAACGATATAAATAGGCTGGACAAAATAATAGAAACAGCGCTCTTGTATTACACAACTTGTTTTAGCAAGGTGTACATAATAAAAATGGCAGCTGAGTAAATGTACAATGGTCTAATATAACAAAGACCACCTACTAATGTAGCCTACTGTAGGCCTACCTACGTTAAGTGCTTGTATTCACGTTTTACTGCTCTACATTAACTTTGCTGATTACATTCTCTCATGCCCTTCCTGTCAAGTAAAAACCATGCAGACCTAGATTGATTGGTGACTAAATTTCCCGTAGGAGTGTGTGGTTGTGTGTCTACATGTCAGCCCCGTGACAGACCGGTGACCTGTCCAGGGTGGACCCTACCTCTTGCCCAATGTTAGCTGGGACTAGCTCCAGCACTCCACCGCCCTCTTCAGGATAAGTGATATAGATAATGAAGGAATGAATGAGTTATATTATTGTATAATAGTAAAGCTGATAGGGACATTTTGTGTACCTTCACCTTTACTACTTTTACTCCCTCTGCTTTAAGTATATTTTGCTGATAATACAGTTTTACTTTTAGCTGTGAAACTTTAAATCCAGGACCTCTCACTGTAGTGCAGTGTTTTTCGCTGTGTGGTGTTATTACTTTTACTAGACTAAAGGATTTGAGTGTTTCTTCTACTACTGCATATATACCACTACAGGGCTGCTACATAAAACCATTTTGTTGGTGTTCGAGTTCCCAAAACTGCTGGCAATAAGATCTTTTGTCAAGCATACTGACACTTGTGTGCTGCTCTCCACAAGAGAGAAAAGGGTCAAGTTCAAGAGGCCTATGAGAACAAATTACTGCACTGAGAAACCGATCTTTAACAGTGGACTTTAAAGTAACTGACAATAAATGTAGATAGTTATTTAAAAGATAGGTGACAAATGAAAGGAAAATCAATCTGTCTAAACTTCTACCCAACCCACAGTCTCATGTGACTGAATGGAAATGAAGCTGATAAATAAAAGGCAGCACTCTCGCTCTCTCCCCAATATATCTCCTCTAATATTTTCTATTATACAGGTTGAAAGGAGAGATGACAGGTGATGAAAAGAATCTATCTGATGAATGATGAAAGGGCCCGATCAGACCAGAGACATGAAGTGAGGCAGATAAGAAGCCACCAGAGCATCTCTTCGGCTGTCATTGTTGTCAAGTCAGTTTTACACAGA